GGGAAATAGTCTGTGCAGATATAGGGAGAAATTAAAAACGGGAGAAAGGAAGAAACTCAAAAGGGAAATATGAATAGAAGGAAAGAAGGGAAATACAGTATTCCATTCTTTGGTACACAACTTTCTTGGGTTTGTTGAGCTTTGCTTTGCTTCTAGAAAAATACTGAAGGGATGTGCTGAAGGGAGGGGGCAGTAAACACAAGGATGGCAAGAAAAGATTTTGTTGCCTTTTGATTTTTGTATCTGAATATTTCTCAGTATTGAAAAATAATGATCATAATTATTCATAAAAGTATAACAATGAGTTAAAATAGCCATAAAGCTAAATATGAATTAAAACAAAATAAATTGAACCACCAAAAATTCATGCGGCACAAGATGAGGTGAAACGACAGAAAATGTTTTTGGAAATATACACGATACATATCTATTAATATATATACACAGGGGTGTGCATATATGGATAGATATATCTGTATAGTGTTTTTCTTTCCACCCTTCCCAAGGATAACCGAATCATGAAATTACCATTATAACTAGGATGAAGAAAACAAAAACCTAAATAAAAGTTAACATGCTTGGTTTATCAAGTTAAAACAGTATCATGCATGTCTATGTTGGCTGATGCTGCTTAGACTGATGGTGTGAATTTCTGTGTAACCACAGGACTGATGGCAGGGGCTGTTATTTTCCACTTACATTAGTCTAACGTCATTTAGACTATGTCTATATATATACAACATAACCAGACTTTGTCACAAACGCACTGCATTTATATATACACACAGTGCATGTACTTAGGGTTTATGGGAGGAAAATAATTCAGAACAGAAACTAAATGAAAAACAACCCACAAAAGTTTTTCTTTAATACTCCACTCCTCTTTATTTGTGGAAACATCCAGAGGAGAATTTGCTTAGTGATTCCAGCAAGCTCTTTCCTTAGCTTCCACTTGCACTGGCTTTTGAAATCAGGAAGTTCTTGATTTGGGCATGAAATTCTCTCTTTAACATGAACACCTATGCCTCGACCTTTATATACCCTGGTTCTAGATCATCTTGCAGAAATATAGTTCAAATGTTTAGCACTGAGCAGTACTGATTTTTTTTTTTTTCGCAGTCACAATTAATGATAAGCTCTGAGTCTCTAAGCTAAGGGTCACATGTGTGCTCCTTGGAGTCGATTCAATCAGAGCTGAAAGGGGGGACACCATGCACTGTGCCAGAGGACTCTCCCAGAAATGTGGATAATATCCTCAGCATTTCTCCTCTATGGCCACGTTGTTTCCCAGCTTTCCTTCTTTCTTTCCTCGCTTGCCTTTCCTAACAGACGGTGAACTCTGAACTCCTGGGTGGTATCTGGTATCAGCTTTGCTTTCTCAGCACCCATTCTAGTGTTGACACAGTGAGGCTCACAAAAATATTATACAAGTAAGTGATTTGTCAGTCTTTGAACAGAACAGCTTGTACTCGCCGATTTCATGCTTCCCTTGGGTTCTTCAACATCCTCCAAACTCTTGGGTATTGGAGTTAAATACACAAATTTTATTTTTAATTTTTTTATTTTATAATTTTTGTTATTAAATGTACTTATGTAATGGAATCTATAATAGCAGTCAATGCACAGACAGTATATTTTATGTTTTATTCAAGAGCCATTGGTTACCTAAAATTCATTAATCTATTTCTATACCTTTATTACTTAAATTAAATTCTTCAAATTTTAAAGCATTCCACCAAGGTGAAAGGGTTTAAAATGGCTTACAAAGTAATTTGTGTTGGATTTGGGCTATATATAAAAAAAAATATCTCACTCACTGTATTAATGAAGAAGAAAATCAGAGCATTTAATAGGAATATCATTGTCCTCTGATCATACTCCATTCATTTATAGATTGTCACGGATGGCAACTTAAAATAAATGTTAAAACTTTTGCATATATTGGACTTTTGTTACAACTCAAGTATGCATAAATGGCTAATATCCACAGCCAAAATGTTTAACTAAATTTAGAAAATTTTCATCTATTTACATTCTTCTTTCTATAGCCATAACATTAATCTCAGATAATTTACATTTTCCAATTACTCAAAGTTTTTTGAAGAACACTGATACTCAATTATTACCATAGTATTTTGTCTAGGCATTTACTATTCTACCCGCAAAATGGTCAGTTGAATAGTGAAATTTAATTATGATTTCATTAAACAACAATGTCTCTCTTTATAAAGGTCTTTCTAAAATTAAACAAATAAATAATTAAAATTTTACTTCTTTGTAATAAAAATGTATGGTACTAACTCTTCAAACTTGCAAAAATTAATGATATATATTTATAAACAAAAAGGTTATAACTAACACACTTGAAGCTCAGTGACTAGCACATTTGTGCTTTTATCATCTATAGTGTCTGGACTCTAGTGTTTTTTTCACTCTTTGTTTAGGAAATCATGATCTTAACCTTTCAGTTCTGTGTGTTCCAGCAAATAAAGCCTCTATCAAATTGTAGAGCTTGGAATAACTTAGTGTCAGATTTTCGTTTATTAATATCTCTTGGAGTTATCTCATACTGGATGCTATTTAGACATGTGTTTCTAGCTATTGTCGTTGGAGAATAAGTCTATGGAGCTCATTGTCAGGTGATATGCAAGAAGGTTTGATATCTGGTAACTCTCTCAGTGTCAATCACATGTCCAGGGTGAACCTCTTCTTCCACGGGCTCAGTAGGGACACCTATTCTCTTCTTATACAAAATACACCTCTGACACATTTCTCCGTATACCCAAGCCACTCACCAGCAGCCCATTAAGCAGGAAATAAAATTAGAAAGAAAATATATTTATTCTTCAAACAAGGTGAGTTACAGTATTCCAGGCACAGAGTTTCAATAATAGTTTCTACCAAGCAGTTCATGTCAGCTCTTGTTGAAGCTGTTTTTTCCTATTAAAAAAAATAATGTCTTTGGATTTATATCCTCTGAATTTGAATCAAATAAAACATATTTGTGATCACTAAAAAGCAAGAAAAACTTACTTTGGGACCATTCAGTGTTGGACTATTCAAATTCAACATCAAAAGGTACTAATGACTGCTCTTAGTCTGGGGATCTGTGGGCCTCGTGGTTCTGATATGTGAACTGTCCTATATCTTATGGAAGGAGATATGCGGACGATTTTTGAGAGAGCATAATTAGGGGAAAGATGACAAAATAATTCAAAATGGTTATGGTTTTATTTTCAATGAGTTATAATGACGAGATTTGATATTATTGCTACGTATGCAGTAATTGCTACTATTAATGGAGAAAAGCAGAGTGAGGATAGGTGGATGATCCTAACGAAAGCATAGGAATCATAAACCAACCACCAGAAAGCACTGTTGATTGGTTCTATTTCATACATACATTGGGTTCTTAGCATTTAACACATCCCAAAAGCACACAGGTGTCTTAAAGCAAATTTATGGCATTACATTAGATTGGAGAACTGGTTTATGTAGCAAGGCTTACTACTCTATTTTATGGCAACTCACTTATGTAAAGCATTAAAGCATTTGAACAAAGTGGACTAGAGGAGAGCGATGCATCATGTCGTGACTAAGTGTTTAGAAACGTGTAGTTAGTAAATGAAATAAAGAGGTTCCTTTCTTAAAACAAAAACTTGTGTCTTATTATATTCCCAAATCATCCAAAGAAATCTGATGAACAAGGTCCCACTAACCTTCCATTCACAAAGCTAAGCTCCCTAAGGAACAATCATTCTCTAGGGTGGTGAGGTCAAATTATGGGTATGTAGCTTTAAGATACTAAGGTCAGAAGACCATAGAACTTCCTGAATCCAGAGCCACTTGCAAGAAACCAAGCAGTCAGCATTTACCAAAATCTGAACTGTTCCAAATCATTTTGGGGAAAGAAAATGAAGTTTTAAATCTATGATATATTATTTTTCTTATGAAGCATAGTTTTCTCCACAATTACAAAGAGAAAACATACAATGACTTGCCTTTAAAAAAAAATATAAAGTCACCCAAAGGATCAAAGTGGAAATTGTATCTATTTCTTTTAGCCTTTTTTGAAAAGAGAGGAGGCTTTTACTTTCAGTTAATATACACAGAAATTCGATGATATCTGTTCTCTATTATATACATATAAATGTTTAACTTATAGTAAATCTAAAAACAGACAACTTGGGAAATTTGAGAGGAGAAAATCAGGGGTGGCAGTTACTGCGGGACATTATATCATATATAGCTCACTATAAAGGGATACCAGCAAATATCAAAATGTATCTGGGTCCAAATGGGGAACACACTGAGATTTCCAATGCCGAAGTCAGTTCAACTTCAGCAGTCGATACATTTTGAAGCATCACAGCTGTTGACATGGCATGGTTTGGTACTAACTTTGCATTTCTTATACTATATCATTTCATAAGTTCTCTAGACATATAATGAACAAAATTAGTATAAACGTAACACCATGTTAACTGCTGTTGAAATCCCATGGAAAATAATTTCGGTTATTTACTTACTTATGCCAGTGATGGTTAGAACAAGTCTTGAGACTCATGTAATACCCACCATTTTTTTTTTTTTTTGCCTCTGTGCTAGGTTATGACTTAAATACAAAATTCTCTTTCAAATGGAGTCTTTGCAGGCTCTTTGCCCCTGTCAGTCTCATAGCTGCCACTGGCAATTGAATATTGACAGCAGTGATTCCAGTGCACAATCTGGGGACCTGATTGTGCAAAGTTGGGGTACATATTCTGTGTTTTTCTTTAGATATGAGAAACTTAGATTTCCCAATGTTTCATTTCTCTTTCCATGGGATTTGATGCTTTTGTTGGTAAGTCAACATTTATATATGTATGCAAATACATATATAGATATAGAAAATACACATACATTAACACACTATAATATATATAAAACACATGTATAATCACATATATGTATGTATTATCGTTTTTGCAAATAAAAAAAGCAAGCAAAACAAGACTGACCTGACCTACCTGTACTTGGTTCACATTCGACAAAGTCTTCATCATCACTTGAACATTCAGCAGATGAAACAAGGTCATCTGATGTTGGCTATTGATGTTAACAGAACAGGGAGGAGCAGAGGGAAGAGAGAAAACAAAGGAAGATAAGGACACTCATATACAAATACATTAAATCTTTTTGATTGTACGCTCGCGCCATTCCTGATTTCTCTCTTCTCTGGTCAGGACTGCCTTGTGGGTCTCCTGTAAAGCTGAAGCCATCAAACTAGCTGCAGAGAGCAAAGCCTTTTCCACTTCAGAAAAGAACATTTTACTGTCCACTCTGATTTCTGAATGAGGAATCAGAAGGAAAGGAGTTACAAAGAACTGGCATTGGAAGGACCCGGCCAACGCTACAGACCTTGTGATTTGAGAGCATACGGCACATGGTCTCATGTGCACTGTTGGGGGCCTGTGAATCTATAGGCAGTATAACTAATGGACACTGAGGAATGCTATTCATTCAGTACAGCATAATAGCTTCTCTTACTTGCAGCAATTCCTTCTCATAATTGCCGCAATTAGCTGAATTAGTAATGAGGACCAGCAGAGTGATAGCACACAGGACAGGGGTAAGACTCCTGTTGAAGAGAGCAGAACGAATTCTCACCATAACACTAGTTCAACTTAAATCCATTCCATTTTTAATCCTGCAGAAACTTCCCAATGCTATGTAATTTATCACAGGCAAAACACAGAACCATGGCCATTGGCAGTTAAATAGACCCTTGCCACATAGTAAGTGAGAATGAGTAATATGCATAACAGAAATTACAAATGCAACAGATACTAGTGAAAGAACGATGAAGGAATAAATGACTTACACACCCTGAACCCTAAATATATTTTGGTCATTATATATAGAAATACCCAGTGCCTTGTAGGTTTTTAATATATACTCATTTCTTTTTTATTGTCCGTAACATTAAGCTAGTTGCTTGTTTTATTATCCCCAGCCTATTGAAGTCTGGATCCATATTCAAGAACAAAAGGTAAGCTTTTGAAGAAGTATTATAAGTCGGTTGCTAGGATTGATATGTATGCATTCTTTTTTAATTTTAATTTTATTTTTATTAATTACAGTTTATTCACTTTGTATCCCAGATGTAGCCTCCTCCCCCACCCCCTCCTAATCCCACCCTCCCTCCTTTTTCTTCTCCTATGCCCCTCCCTCAGTCCAATGATACGGAAGGTCCTCCTCCCCTTCCATCTGACCCTAGACTACCAATACTGGCTTCACTGGCTTCTTCTGTGGCCTGGTTAGGCTGCTCCCCCATCAGGTGGAGGTGAACAAAGAGCCAGCCCATGAATTCATGTCAGAGACAGTCCCTGTTCCTATTCCTAGGGAACCCTCTTGGACACTGAGCTGCCATGGGCTACCTCTGTGCATGGATTCTAGGTCATCTCCATACAGTCCTTGTTTGGAGTATCAATCTCACCTTGTGCCCAGAATTTTTGGTTCTGCTGTTCTCCAGGCACGACTACTCAAATCATCCATTGAGACAGGGATGTTGTGTTTAAAAAGACTAGAAGTCAGAGAGCTTAGCTGACTTGCTGAAAGACACACAGCTAGTAAGAAACAAAGTGGTGATTTATAAGATATATTGCCAATATGCTTGTGGGACATCCCAGCCCTTTCTATAGCCTGTCCTATAAATATTACAGGTTGAGGGCTGGAGAGATGGCTCAGCTGTCAAAAGCTAGGCTCACAACCACTAGATATTATAGGTTTAATTATGATCCCCAATACCTCAGGACAGGACTTCATTTGAACATTGGGCTTTAAGCCTTAATGAGATACTTCAGTTCAAATGATATCATTGGGATGTACCTGAATATAGTAGCATTGGTGTTTCTATATAAAGCGGAAATGAGGACACAGACATAGAAAGGGAGGGGTCTACGTAGAAATTCCCCATACAGAAGAGTATCTACAAGTCAGGGAAAGGGGCCACAAGAGATGCTGACTTTGCGGACACCATGGCTTGAACAGCCTTCAGAATTCTGTGGGAATACAATTTAACTGTTTGGGCCATGCAGTCTGGATACTTTGTTTCTTCAGTCATAGCAGACACACACAGCAGCATAACAATTCAAGTGGTTAGTGTTTCCAGAAGACACCCTCATTTTAAATACACACATGGACCACAGGAATGAAAAGAAAAAGGTGGGAAAAAAACCTATCAGGTAACTCATTTCACTTTTTCAAGTGCAGAGCAGGGCCCATAAGTCACACTAGGGATCTTTCTTCTATGTCTGAAAGAAACATACTTCATCTCTGTTCCATCAGAAAGTTAGAAAATAAACAATCTGAAAAAAAGACCCCTTCTGTAATTCTGCAATCCTGACTTGTACTGTTCCATCAGCTGTATCATGGGAAACTACTTCGTGCCTGAGAAATTACATTCCCTAACGCATTTTCCTCTAAAGGCACCTAATACAAGTCTACTTCCCACTACTTAAGGAAGAAGGGTGAGGAGGAAATACATGTTAACTCTTGGACAGAGAAAACAATTAGTTGAAGCCAACATCATTTTGGATGGGTCATGATCATAATTTGATATTTATTATTATTTCTGTTTTTAAGTTTTAATTTTTTTGGCTATGCATTTTCGCATATGTCTCTGTAGAGTGGGTATTTGGGAATGTACATATGTAAGCGCAGGTAAAGTGTTAGATCCCCTGGACCTGAGTTGCAGATGGTTGATGGTTACCTGAAGTGGGTACTGGGAACCAAACTTGGATCCTCTGCAAGAGCATAGCCAGTCTTAACCCCTAAGTTTTTCCTAGACCCATTATTTAATATTTTGAAGCACGTGTTCTTTAGGACAGTAGCTTCTCTGGTTCAGAGGAAGAAGTGTGGGCTCATCCCCCAAAAGGCCAATATTGCATAAGTAAATATACAGTATACTGCTGCTATTAAAATTTGTATATATATATATATGTATAGATAAATTTGGAAATAGTGACTTGACTATACAGAACTGAAAGAATGCCCTCTGTGTTGTTTCAATCGCTAATGTTGAGTAGAAATCTAGAGAGTTAACTGATGGAGTCAATTCCCTCCTTCCACTTTGTGTGTCCCAAGGACAGAACTCAGCTTCTCAGACTTGGTAGCAAGGTTCTTTACCTACTAAACCATCTTAATGGAAACTTAATGCTTCTGATTTAAAAAAAATATGATGAGAAAATATAAGTCAAAAGAAACTGATTTTTTTCAGAAAAAAAAAAAAAAACAATATATCCCAGACACTACACTGTTGAAAATAGATTTCCTATTTCCCTGTCACTCTTCATCAGTCTACTTATTACATGAGATTCTCTTCACTGTACGGTGGGTGCTCTTGAGCCCTTTGTTCAACTCCAGCCCTGTGTGCAGTTCCTTTCCAAGATTCAGCTCCTCACCCTTGTATACATGTTCTCCTGTATTCTTGCTTCCCGGTTCCACTTCCTCACTGTCTCTTTATCTTCTATATGAATATGCATCACAATAATGTTCCTCTCAGGCAAGAAAACCTCATGGTACCAGTATCTAACTCTTATGAATAGTGCCTAAATTTAAAGGTTTATGGGGCATGTGGACTGTGCCACCAGGGAAACTGGCATAGAGCTAGAATGAGATTGAGATGTATCCAAACCCAGAAAATCTCAATCTTGAGGCCGGCAGGAGTGAGGATTGCGTCCTCTTGTTCTGTGCCTTCATGCACCCAGGCACATAGTCCTGCAACCCTCACCCTTGCAATTCTCTAGGTAGCCATGTAGCCTGACACCTGGAATTTCTCCTCATGCAAATGAAGCATTCCAAGCACCTCAGCCTAAGCCAATGCTATGCACTCACCTGAAAACCCATACCCCTTCCCCAAGGTTTATAAAGCCAATATTGTCTGTGATAGTCAAAGAAGAATAAAATACTCATAATCACACAACCCAAATAGTTTTGATAGTGGCAGGCTACATATATATATATATATATATATATATATATATATATATATATATACACATATACATATACATATACATATACATATATATGTATATATATAGATAGATAGATAGAGAGAGAGAGAAAGAGAGAGATAATATATATGTATGTATATATGTATAAAATTATATATGATTATATCAACATGATTTCTTTACTCAGCCATTCATTCATTGATGAGTTCATTTATTTCTTGAGATATTTATCACAGATCTGTTAATGAGGCACTGCAACAGTGATGAAGGATTAAATGAGAAATGAAGTGACTTGTCCGCTCTGGAGATTCAGTCTCTGATGAGACAGCCAAGTAAACACGAACACTCAACGTGGTAAACCGAATGTTGTGACAAAAGTTAACTTGAGTCACCAAGAAAGCAAGTAGCAGGAGACTAGATATATCTCCCAGACAGAAGGGAAGTAGGAAACAAGCCCTTAGGGACAGATGGGAGTGAAGCAGTACAAATCCAGGATTAGAGGCTGGAGAAGGAGAAGGGCATTTCAGGTAAAATAACCAGTGTTTGTTAAGGGTCGGGAGTACAAAATAGCTTCATTTATTTGCACATCTGTAGGTAGTAAGGGAAGAATATTTATTTGCACATCTGTAGGGAGTAGGGGAAGAAAAGACGGTTTGGAATGACAAAATGACAGCAGCTAGAATGATCATCTTTGCCTCAGCTAACAAGTAGGGATTTAATACTCTGCTCTATCGAACTCCCCTTCTTCTCCCCTTCTCTACACCTCATCACTGTCACCCTTCACAAACCTTGGGAAACTGACACACACGATTTTGGAACATGGTCCCAGGGAAAGACAGCCATAGCTCTGCTGGTGTAGATAAAATGCCTTTCTTTTCTTTCTTTAGAGGAGTAAAATATCCCTCAGCCCTTATATATTAACCGTGTTCTATATCAGAAATAATAAATCCCATGTTCTATTTTAAAATATATTTCATATATTTAATTCACATGTTGGGAATTATTCACTTCTGTACTAGGGCTCATAAAACTAAAGATATACATTATAATAACTTTCAATAATATATATATGTGTGTGTGTGAGGCAAG